ACATCGTGTGCAAGGGGACCATTCCAAGTGTTCGGACCCCGTATTTGAGGCGCTCTTCATTGTGTATGGCTCACGCTTGTATATAACGGACGCTATACATGTATTAACCGGTAAAATGCGGATATCGAACCACATATGCATTTGAAATGGGGATCTCCTCTAGTCGTCCTTTGTTACTACCACATTAACATCTACTCATTTGTTAAAGACATGCTTATTTTTATTCCCAACCAAATTTGTATATGTATTGTTCCATATGGCTTCGTTTAATATGTAACTTTCATCGCCAATTTTAGTAAAAACAGCATCCAGGCTGGCCAAGATGATATTGAGTTAATCCATCGAAAATTGCAAGCTTTGGAAGAAGAAAACGCTTCCATGCGGAATACGGTATGTCTTAGTCGATCGCTTACTCGCCTCTACTCTTACTTAAAGTCGGAAAAGATTGGTTGGAAATGCAAAAGAACGACTGCCACAGCTTCTACAAGAGGCTTTACATGGCCCCAAGCGATGTACTTGGCAAGGGACCATTTTGACGACTCCATATTACTTAGAGGAGGTCTTTTGATCCGTGTAATGAAACAGGACTTTTTAAGCCTTCCTTTTTGGTCTATTTCAAACCCGTGATGCTGTGCTTTGCTATTGGGTGGCCAAGGGGGAGTGTTAACATAATGATGTTACTAAGCCTTTAGCCATGCCTTCATTGAAATCAATTATTTACTTCTTGTGGTAGGAGCAAATGAGAAGAAACTTATTTAAGTTTATTTTGATTAATGTCGTGAAGTTAAAATTTCACATTCGTAGGTCTACATGCAAGATCGTTGTGTGATTCTAGATTATTGCCTTATTTTGGTGCATTTTTGGTCATCTCTTTATATCTCTCATAGCCACAAACTGTAATAATTTAACAAAGATGCTACTTTAATACTTTTTATCAACATTTGAAATGACAGATTTGCAATCAATGATGATTGTGTTAAGTCGGAAACCTTTAAGCAGACGAAGATTGAAAAATAACGTACTTTGCCGATTCGAGACACTAGTTCCTTAGCGCTCTTATTTCGTTATCCTTCACATTACACGGAAATCCTTTTGTCAACTACATCTCTGAGAAGGGCAGAGA